CCTAGGGAAATGGGTAGTTTTGCCATCTGGTGTAAAAAAGGGCCGGTTTTGAAATCCAGCCCCCAGCCCGTCCCCAAACCGCGGACGATCAGCGCGGGCCTGAGGCAGCTCTCGCTCCAGCCCTCCGCCTCAGACCAGAAGTACGGACGCGTTCTTTGGGGTTTTCTGTACTTCCCCCCCCCCAAAGTCTCACCTGAACCGGTCTGGGACTGGGGATAAACCCCGCGACGGCTGGTGCCACCTCGTGGTTTCCACTCCCCTGGTCTGGGGCTCGTTCTCTGTCGCCAGAGACATTAATTAATTCTGATCTGCTACAGGTCACCCGTGGCTCGAGGCAGCGTCAAACGCGCTTCTCAGCACGAATCTCTGTACGACGCCTCCAACATCTACGGCCTCTCGGGTAAACCGCTTCTTCATCTGGACTCGGAGGAGGAAGCTGCGTAAAGCAAGCGCAGCCGCGTTTAGGGAGTGCTTTCAGATGAAAATACAGGCCGGGAGCTGGCTCATAGGCTGGCGTTCCCTTTAAAGGCTGGGATCGAGCTACATTTTTGGAGGAAGGTTTCCTTAAAGACTTCTCCCTTCCTGAAAATTATTCCTTGCTTGAATTAAGACATCACTGACGCGGTGCTCAAACTCTTTTCTGGGTGCTAAGGTGGCCCCTTCCACTCCCCCCTGCTTTACGCAGCAGTTGTGTGTGTGTGCGCGCGTGTGTGTTTTCAGAGCAGCTCCCGGGATGTTCCTAAAGCATCTCTCCCTTCTCTTCCCAGCCATGGATGGCGTGCCTTTCACACTACACCCCAAATTCGAAAGCAAGCTCAGTTCTGGCAGTAACGTGAGTCTTCCTTTAAGCTGCTGGTTTTAGTCCTGCCTCATAACTGTGTTTAATTAGAAACACTTCACACACACACCCCTTTTTTTTTTTTTTTTCCAGGCTATCCTTGCAGACCTGAACGTCAAGTCGCTTGCCGATATCGAGAAAGAGGTAAGCGGGGCCGCTTTTGTCACGCGCCTCTTTTGGGGCGGATAGCGGTCGTATTCTGAATTCCTCAAACACCAGCGGCTCGTCCTGACCCATTGCTTTTCGTTTTCAGTACAATTACACTTTTGTCGTCGAAAGGACGGCCGCTGCCAGGCTCCCGCCCAGCGTTTGTTAGCACCGGAGTCTACCTCGAGGATGTAAACCGCAGCCAGGCACCCAGCTGGGCTGAGCCCCTCTCCTCTCTCTCTCTCTCTCTCTCTCTGATTAAAGTTCAGGCTACCTGAAGAAATGCAATCGACACCCGATTACGGGAATCGCTTAGGGAGAAAAATAAATGCGTTTCTCTTCTCACCTGCCAAAAGCTTTTTGTAACGGTTTGGAAATACAGGGCTTCTTTTTTGGCACGTGCAGCGGCACAACGTATAGCAGTTCCCGGCCGTGTTTGTTCTCCTACGCTCTGTCACCGCTACGACTCTTTACTCGGAACGTTACCTCCTGCGAGGGTGGTTATAGCGTTTCCGCTGCGTGAGAACTCCTACCCCTCGGCCTCGCCTTCAGGCTGTTGCTGTCCTTACTCCTGCACTCGGTCTCGGTGTCTATTAAAACCATCACAAAGCTTTCAGCCCCACAAAGGAAGTTCCAAAACACATTTCAAAATACATCGATTCTGATTTTAGTTACCAAATTCTGTAAACGTTTCCTTAAACGTTAGGGCAGTACAAAACTCCCGACAGTTGGTGGCGCGTCCTGGAAACATTAAAAAGTCAGCTCTTGTTTCACAGAGGTGGTTTCCACATGATTTGGAGGAAAGCTTCCCCACGCCTGGTTCCGAGCAGGATCAGAGTTATTGTCAAAAGAACGAAGGACGATTCTTTGTGATGGCGAAACACGGCCCCCGGGTGCCGTCCTTGGCGTAGCACTGCTGGGGGCGAGGACCTCGGAATCCCTTTCAGGAAGGCACTTTAAGTTTCGCGCTCCCCAGCAGAAACTGAAGGATTCGGTCCACTAACAAGGCGAGGAAGAAGTCAGCCAGCAACACTTCCGTGATCACGATCTTGAACTAGGAAAACAAACACAACCCGTTAGTCCCTCTCCTCCCTCTCTTCGCTTACTCTGGCCCCGCAGAACAGAGCCCCTGCCCCAGGAGGCGCTACTGGCCGCTGCGGCAACCACTGAACTAGAGCTCGAACTTCCTCCTTTCGCAGCGTGCTGTAAAAATCGCTAAATCGTAAACGTTGC